TTATGAATCTGACCTCATGAGGTCCTATCCCATTTACCTCATGGAGGCTCGTCCCTGCTGGAAAAACCTCGTGAGATCCTCATGAGGTTTTCGAACAGAAGTCTCATGAGGCCTCATAACCTACACGAGGACGTTTCGAAGCCTTATGAGGAACCTCACAATCCTCATGGGGAATTCGGCAGATCTCTAAGTTTATATTGAGGTTTTTTCAACAGGGTATGATAGGTGGCTTCTAGGTAATACGTACAGGTGGGGTTTTGCATGATCACTAGCAGCAGTGACGGATACAGAAATTTTTCATAGGGGGGGCGGTTTCCAAGTTCCTACCTTCCCCACCCCCCCTCCCCCCATACCACCATTCCCCGTCCTATCACCTTTTTAGATTTTTGTCTAGGGTAAAAACTTGAATATCTATTTTATTGGCCCCAATAAAATTTAATGTAGATGCTATTTTAAATAAATAAATAGAAAGCTAACCTGGCCATTGGGGGGGGGGGGGGGGGGGGGGTTGCCCCCCCCCCTTCTAACCTGGCCATTGGGGGGGGGGGGGGGGTGATTGCCCCCCCTCCTGAATCCGCCACTGACTAGCTGTACGGTAGCGAAAAAATTTTTTTTGCAATATATCTTCAAGTGTTGACGTTGCCCGTGAAAGGGTTAAGTTGGGATGAGCGGTTTTCCAAATATATGTACAGTGTGTATGAATGCATATACTCCATTCGCGACACTTATTAAAACAGTATAAACACAGAATATTGACTTTCATCAGCCGAATTCCAGGACGCAAGAGCCGACATGCTCGATCTTGGAACCAATCTCGTCTCGACTTCTTTCTTCTTGTGATACCTCGAGGAAAGTAAATCGATACAGCCTGGAAGTGTTAGAAAAGACGTTGAATCCGGAACAGTGGCAGACGGGCGGGGGACATCCTCCCCATGATTAACCCTTAACCGGTTTGCCATAGAGCTGCGGTTCTCAGACTTCTTTGAACTGCGACCCAATTACCGACGCCTAGAAAGTACGCGACCCTCGCAATCCAGAAAGAAGTATTTTAAAATTAATTATGGCATGAAGAAAACTCATTGACTTTTTTTGCAGAGCTTGTTTTATTCTGAGCATAACTTGCGCGTTTGGTGCACTTTGCAGAGGTGTTCTATTCTGAAAGAATCTTTCCCAAGGCGAGTCGGAGATCGTTCTCCACTTACAGCCGCGAGCGAAACTTTGTATTTTTTTAATTTTTTATTTTTTAAATCAAAGTCAGAGCTGTGAATCCTGTTTCACACAGATATCTGAGAGCAAGGGGAAGCAGCGCCCGTGTCGCCTTCTTTACAAGAAGGGGATATTCTTTGAATTAAGAGTAAGGTGGAAGGAGAAGGAAGGAGGGGAGGCCCGCAGGTAGAAGTGTGCAAGGGCCGAGCTAATTCGATTACTCAGGATTGGCTTATGGGGATATAGCTTTCTTTTATCGTGGGAACTTGTCGCGACCCACAATTTGGGAACCGCTGCAATAAAGAAATCCGACAAAAATGTCGGATGACATGAAGGGCTGATTTCTCCTAGATGGAATGTAGAATGGACTTCATATTTGGCGCATGCAGAGCTAGAAGGGACAATTACATGATTTTGACATTTCATCTGTGCGTAAGGAAATAAAGGAATGACTTCATGTAGAAAACAGAGGAACTTCGCAAAAATTGTATCCGTACTTCCCGCGCGGAATCTCTCAATGTGATTGGCTCTTCCAGATAGAGCCTCCACTGCTGTCTCGAGTCACGAGTCATAGAGATAATGGAGGCCTTTCCCGTCATTAGAGGCAGGCATCTTAGCATTGGCCTTCCCTTAAGCATTTATTCAGGTTGCGAATGAATGCAATTATTTCACGACTCTTAACCCCATGTTATGTATCGTATCTGGTGATGAATTGATACATTGAGAATGCAAGTTCACACGGGAATGAGTTCCATTCCATGCGGGGTAAGGTGTACACAGTACGGATCAGAAATTGTCACCGACAAATTAGAACAATTCGCTTCCGCTTTTTATGCCTCCTCATTCCTAATCCGTTGAAATTCGTGAGTTGGGTTACCCTCAATACTAAGTGCCCCCAAAAATTCCAAAATTCAGAAGCCTACACAGGAAAAACGATAGATGATAACGAAAGGAAATGTTCATGGGTGATACAATATGAGTAGGTGATACCGCGAACATTTAAGCAGAATTGATCCTTTTTCAGGAAAATTTCGGGAAATGACATGTGACAGTACATTTCCTAAAGATGACTTCCATAGAGTTTCATCCGTAATCGTGTAAAGTCGGGAACTTCTGGGTCACCTGGTGTCACATCCAATGTGCGTGGATGGTTTCCCAAAAATTTAGTCGAAATTTATCATTCGAGACGTTGTTGGTTCCACGTGGTCGGGATGGGAATATACACTCAATGTCCACAAAATTAGATATACCTCACTAGTAGCGTGTTGGACCGCCTTTGGCCCTCAAAACAGCATCAATTCGTTGTGGCATGGATTCCACGAGGTGCTGGAAACGTTCTGCAGGTATCCCGGCCCATGCTGCTAGCACAGCATCACTCAGTTGCCGCTTGTTTGATGGCAGTACAGGCAAGCCCCGCACAGCCCGTTCCACCTCATCCCAAAGATTAAGCCCCGCACAGCCTGTTCCACCTCATCCCAAAGATGTTCTATTGGATTGAGATCAGGGGACTGTGTGGGCCACTGGAGCAAGGTAAACTCCTGGGCATGTTCCTCGAACCAATCCATGACGATACAGCCCTTGTGGTACGGTGCATTGTCCTGCTGAAAGTATCCATCTGCTAAAGGGAAAATGGTGGTCATAAAGGGATGGACCTGATCAGCAACGATGTTCAGGTATGCTGTACTGTCCTGACGACCTTCCAGGGGTATGAGGGGACCTAGGGTTTGCCAACAGAACACACCCCACACCATCACTGAGCTGCCACCAGCCTGTAATGTTGACACCAAACAGGAGGGGTCCATGGATTCATGTTTCCTGCACCAGATTCACATTCTCCCATCGGCAAAATGCAACTGGAACTGGGATTCATCTGACCATGCAACCTTTTTCCACTCAGCAATGGTCCAGTGACGATGCTCTTTTGCCCAGAGAAGTCTCGCTTTCCTGTTTTTGTCCAACAACATTGGCACCCGAACTGGTCTTCTGCTGTTGTAGCCCATCCGCGCTAAGGTGTGACGGGTTGTGTGCACGAATATGCTTTTCGGGACACCAGCGTTGAATTTTGCAGTGATTTGGCGTACTGTAGCCTGCCTGTCGGCCAAAACGATACGTGACAGCCTTCTCTGACCTCGAGCATCAATGAGGCTCTGCCGTCCACAGGATGCCCTTGCAGCCGTTGTTTTTCACTTATCACACCATTCACGGTATACCTGTGAAACTGTAGCATGTGAAAAGCCTAGCAGTTTGACGGTTTCCACGATACTCAAACCAGCTAGTCTGGCACCAACGACTGTTCCACGTTCAAAGTCGCTGAGGTCTGTTGATTTGCCCATTCTGCAGTCAAAACACACACACTAAAGCAGGGCTGCCTGCTTTAGGTCACAACCTAACCAACCTAACCTAGGTTAGGTTATGCTGTAGCTGCATGGAAAGTTGAATGTAGGGGTATCTCTAATTTTGTGGACATTGAGTGTATATTTATTACAAGAGCAAGAAGAGAAAGAAAAGAAAATGGGGGAACCAACACAGGCAAGTATTTGATTGGGGTGACAAACTACTTGTAAGAATGATTGCTAAGATTAGGCTCGAGGTGGGAAAAGGGTATTAGATTTCTAGATTTTGGCAGGGTATCGAGTAGAAGGGGCTGTGTTTCACAGCGATCTAGGAGTGCTAATATGAGCAAAGAGGGCGCCTTAGGCTAAAACTCTTCATAGCCCTAGCCAAACTTTGAGCCTTAACTCAAAGGTCACAATGCAATAAACATGTTTTTCGTGCATTTAGGTGCATCTAGTTTAAACTGGGCCCACAGGGAATGCAGTAGAGTGACTTTACTTTCAATTCTTACTACTTTTAACATGAGTCAATGTTAATTACATTGGTCACATCTTCCAAATGACTATTGGATCGTCACGGACAGGGTCGGCCTTAGGTATGTCGTGTCCCCGGCACAGGCCGCGAATTCACCGGGGACGCCAATAACACGACAGAATGAATAAAGCAATTGTAGATGCCACTCTGTTTTACTTCAGAAAGTAGAAGCCCATTGTGATCAAAACGTGTGTGCGTATATGTGGGGAGGAGGGATGTTGGGAGTCTCTTTGCACAGAGCGCAGAAATAGCTTGGGCCGGCCCTGGAAATGGATAATGAATAAGGTCATACGAAGGTGAAAGTACACTGTTTTCGGAATTAATTCAACCCCCTCCCCCCCAAAGTCTGAGAATACTGAAAGACAAGAGCCAGCAGGGGGCAAGGACACTACGTTGTGAATGAAACACGTGGTGTGCTACCACTAAGTTCAGCCAACTGCCATGTTAGGCCATGGGGGCAACATGTGTCGTCTGCTAACTTCTTTCTGCGACTTGTCCTTGTATTCATTGATTCCAAAACGAGAAATAATTGATGCATGAAGAGTGTCTCTCATCGAAAAAGGGAGGCTTGACTTCATTATCCAATCTCGTTCTTCAGTTGGGATTCAGCAAAGACCATGCAGCGATGATCTGGGCAAGAGATCGACCTACGGATGAGTTATTTAAAATGTCCCTTGTACTCCTGGGGCTCAACGGAAAATCACACTAGGACCATAGATTCTTTGGAGGGAAACGAGGGGGAATGGGGTGAAAAATATTTAAGACAAGCTGTTCTCCAACGAATATTAGGCAATATTTAATTGTCCTTTTTTTGTCGGACAATCGGACCTTGGGTCGTGATGGACGTCGGGAAGAATGTCTGAATGTTAAAGTAACCTCAAGTCGAACGCAGGAGGAACGTTAAGAATTCTCAGCGGAGATGGGGAATGTGTGACAGCTGTGACGTAAAGACGGAGTTAGGGAGGAGTGCGCTGCGCAGGGGCGTCCCAGGACCCTGGAACAGGATCGATCTCCCCTCAGACCACATGGACTCCAAGGGGATCACCATGCGTCCCTTCTTCTTCTTGCTCCTGCTTCCCGTTCCGGGTTGGAGCAAGGTCGTGACCGAAGGTGAGACATTACTGTCCTATACTTATCGTAGGAGGCTGGAGTTTCAATCTCTCTTTTCATGCATGGCTGTGATTGGTATCATTTTTATCGAAGGGGAAGCCTTGGAATGTTACGTATGCGAACCAAAGGCCGTGGCGGACATCATAGAGAAACCTTCGGTGAGGCTAGAATTCCCTTTCAACGAAGTCGGAGATTGTGTAGATTTTGACGAACTCAAGGGGAAAGCGAACGCCAGCGAAACCCTTCAACCTTACGTTCGTGAATGTCCCAAGCAATATTCCAATTCTTGCATCAAAGCCGTCGTCGGTGTGTTCTGTTATCTTCATTAAGTTCCCACAACATGGTCAGGATGCAATTCCAAATCCCTTTTTCTCTACATAGATGGTTTCGTGTGGCGGATGTGTGGAAGTCAGGGAACGCCATATCCGCAGGGGAAATGCCACAAGGTCCGGGATACACTCCTCTGTATCTGTGAAAAATCAAATTGCAATCCTGCCTCTTCCCATCGTCCCTTCTCCATTCTCCTTTTCTTCCTTCTCATCTTTCTCACTTTCTCCTCTTCATGTCCATGGCAATGGCAATCATATAAATGAAAGCAACAGCACATCATAACACTGATGCATTTAATTCTTAAGGAAGAGGAAAGTTGAAGCTGCACCAACAAGAAAGAATGAAAAGAGAGAAAGTACAAAAAATTTTGGGGAAAGTTCAGGTATTTCCTCATTAAAGGTAATAAGGAAGCAGGGAGGGAAAGTCAGAGGCCTATCATGCCAACAATGACGCAACCAGAAAATAAATAAGGTCAGGTGGTCCACCAGGACTCAAATTGATCACTTCTTCCCCACTTGGGAGAGAATTTCTGTGATGTAATGCTTTTAAAAACATCTCCCTTTCACCTCTACAATCTGTCAGGGCTAATGGGAAAATCAAACAATGAAAGAGAGATAGACAGAATGTGTGCAGTAAGAGACCATGGTGGTGACAACATGATCTAGAACTGTACATTTTCTCATCATGAAACTGTGGAAGATACAGAAAGATACAAAACAGAAGACTTCATGTATGTTGTGATGCAGCCTAGAACTTTCGAGGGAGAGACAGGAGCTGAGACACAGGGGGCTTTGGAATCTCACGCTGATTGTTTGGAGACTCAGTAGGAGCATCAGAGGATGGAGGAGGATCATCATCACAGGCAAAATGGAGAGGAGGCAAGTCAAAGGGTTTTGGATTAAGCTTACGCATGAGAGATTCCAAAAGCCCAGCCAGTTCCTTTCGCTTCTTCTTCACACTCTCCTCGTTGAACCATTCCTCAAGCCCCCGAAATGGGTGACGGAAGGTGGTGATTGGCTTCTGTAACATTAAGGTCCATCAATGAAGAAAAATCTTTCCATATGAGATGAGGGATAAATAGGAGGTACAGTACCTGGAAGAATGCTTCAGCATACTGAAGGAGGAAGACCCCACAGTCAGAGAAATTATCCTGCTGGGGAACTTGAGGGATGGCCCCTTTCATAGTGTCCCTTGTAAAATTCTTGTCTTGCTTGTGCCGTGTCTTGTACTCCACCTACCATTGAGTGGATTGAGATTCCTCTGTGTTTTCACTCATCATCCATCTCCATTATATCACAGCCATGGGGAATGATAGAAAAGAAAAGTGGACTCACTCGGAGGTATTGGCGGAGAGTTTCAACAATCCTTGAGCGGTTGGTCTGACCCAGAGAGTCAAAGATGAGAATGCAGGGCCTACAAAAAAAAAAGACAAAATTTTCAATTCTTGCTTCTTTTTAATTCCACCAGGGTTATTAAAAAAGGCAAACATAGGAGTTAATAATCTGAGGGACTATGTCTCACTTCAAATACTTGCATTTAATTTAACAATATAGTTAGAGTGTTAATTTCAATGATGATAACAATCTTCATTCACAATAGGGCCTTGATTTTTGTCATTGACAACTACAATGCACAGGAAATTCTCCTGCATGGACAAAAAAGTATGTTTTATTAAAAGATGAAACAATTTCTACTGACAAGAAATACCAGAAGCAGGAAAAACCCCACCAATGTTTCAATATTTATAACAGGAAATCAGTCAATGCTACAGTTGTGTAGTTTCTAAGATATATGCACTTATGTCTTGTCTCCTGTGGAAAATTTTAGGAAGAATTTTCCCTAATCTAGTTCAGCTTACAGAAGCATTTAGACGATTGCAAGAAAAAAAAAAGAAATCCCCATCCTTCCTTAGCCTCTCCCCATGAAAGTTGCCAGTTTACTTGGTTGTTTTAGGGAAAGCTTGTCTATCATATCAGTTGTGATCATGGTGTTTTATAAGGCAGATAGAGTGGTATTCTGGATGAATATGTATACTGGTTTCACTCAATGAATAACTCTTCAATTAAAACTATGGCTTAATGCTGTCATCCAAGTTCCAGCATGGCCCATCTTACATCCATTTCAAGGAGTTGCTCTGGACTTGCAGGATGTTTTAATATTTCACTCACAAATGTCAAAGTGTTTTTTTTTGGCAAAACCATCCTATAGAAAATTCTGATAAAAGGTTACTTTAGAGAATAAAGTTAATGCATACCTATTTTCATTGATTTTAGGTTCTAACATCCCAATAATGGTATGTTTTTTCTCTGCACCCAATATTTACAAGCAATTTTCTCACCTCTTTCCTCACTTCAGCTTTATCCATTTTCTCACACAAAAAGCAAAATGGGGCTTACACAATTTTGAGTCAAAATAAGAAGTGGATGGCCATCATCAATGAGTGGACCAACATGAATTCAATAATCAGGCAAATGTGAATGACAGAAATTGAAAAGTATTTTAGCCTACAAAAAATAACCAAATCTAATCCTTAAGACCTTATGAAAACAATGACCATGTACTTGGTTTTGTACTCATGGATTTTGATTTTGGATTCAAGGGAGCTGGAAGACAACAGTTGAAAGACTTTTGGTGTCCCTCTTCCCCACTCAGCAGATAAGAGTTCACCAGTTGCAAAAAATGAAATACTAAAATAAAAATGCCAAGTGCAGTACCACAAGACACAAAAAACACTAAGCACTCTCCTTGGTAGACATCAGGCTGTTGCTGCTCAAGAGGCAGCCTATGGAGTGTACCTGTCCAGTGTGTGAGTAATTGGATCAGATCTCTTGAAAGTGTGCTAAAAAGATGTATGTAGAGCTGCTACTTGAAAAACAAAAAAGGAGGCCTGGAAGAAATTTGCCAAGCAAATAGAACCAGATTGCCAGACTACCACCCCAGTGTTCCAGCAAGCCGTCAGAAGGCACTTAGCAAAGCAGGCAATGTATTCTGGGGCATCAGAATGAAATGGAGATTTGCTTGCAGCTACTGTAATTTGAAAATAATTCAAAGGTGTGGAAAGAACAGTTTAAAGATCTCTTACAGATACCCAGAACTGACTTGGATGAACCTTACTAGGAACTCTAATGCCAGATTTGTAAAAAAAATATTAAATATTCTTCTTGCCGTCAAACCAATCTTGAATGGTCATTCATCATCATCACCAAAAAGCATTTCTGGAAGGTCCTTTTTCAGATATGCAAACAGACAAATGTGAGTCAGAGCCACGTACTCAATGCATAGTCTGTAAATGACTCCAACTGTTTGAAAAACTAAAAAGAACCTTTGAGAAATGCAATTTTTGTGACGATGATGAGCTTCGACCATGCAAGAATAGTTTAACAGCAATAATAATATTTTTATGAAGCTGGTATTAGAATGTTGCATGATCGTTGACAGCATGTCATTGAGCATGACTTTCATTATATTAAATATTGATAGTAAAATAAAGTCCGTGCATGCTTCATTTGTGGGTGAGGCTGAGAATTTATTGACAGACCTAGTAGGCATGGAAAGGAAGATTCTATGTTGTTTGAATATGGCAAAATTCGGATTGCAAAGGTTAAACTAGTAGACTTAAAAGGTACTTTAGCATGAAGCATCCAAAAGCAGGCTGCGATGGCCCAAATCAACAATTGGGACCAGGTTCAGTGACTGAGAGGTTTAGGTTTTAAAAATGTAACTCTGGAGGGGGTTCAAGTTCAGGTGAAGGTAGGCTCTTCACCAACAAGCAACCCATTCTAGCGTCATGGTAACACACACACCACTTTTAATCCAACATCCAGGGGATAGAGGTACAGTACACGTTAACAATCATTCATGTCAGTCAAGGGCCTTACAATGAACTGCTCCAAGGCCTCCTACAGGAGGGGGCATTCTGGCCCATGGGACTGTGGCAACAGCTGTGGTGCCTGTAGCAAGCAACCACCACAGCAGATCCTCCCCTCTTGTTTACCATAACTGAAAAATCCCTATTGTGTTATGCATCTGCAGCTTTTACTATCTTCTTCTTTCTATGAGTTTTCCTATACTGTCTCACAAAGAAATATTGCATTCCGGTGCAATTTTCTCAGAAATGCCACAGTCTCCTTTGAATTCCTCTTGCAGAGTTACTTTTTGGAAAGTTTAAGATATTGAGTGAATCAACTTGCAGATTAATAATCAGCAAGTTGAATCTTCATGGATGATTCTTATGTCCCAAAACCATCATGTTACCTTGCTTTTAGGGCTCTGATTTCATATGATTCTGACTGTTTTGCAATTAACAGTTTTGGCTTTCCAATTTTGATGATCACCCTCAAAAGGAACTGACTGTTTAATGTTGTCATTAGGCTGAGCCATGGGAAACATCTCTTCTTCTGATTCACTCCTTTCATCTCCATCATCTCCAGATTTTTTGCTCGCTTTCTTCTCAGGCTAAAGAGAGATAGGGTCAAGGAGAGAAAAATAAATAAAAAACTCTTCCCTCCATAACTAAGTGTATCAGAAAGAGGAACTAGGAGGAAGAGACCGTTTCAAGAGGAGGATCCTGGGCTTCATCTACTGGGGCAGGGGGAGAACTATCATCACGAAGCTCATCTTCGTCTCCCTCGGCTTCATCCCTATCAGAATCCCCAGCCTCCATCCCCCCTTCTCCAGTGCCTTGGTCACTGACAGGGGTGATCACAGTTGCTCCATACTTCATTACCTGTTCATCCCCCTTCTTCCCTCCTTTTGTCTCATCTCCTTTTTTCTTTCCTGTTCATTTCATTGGATAAAAAACAAGGACATCAATGAAAGTACTGATGGCAACAAGGAATGCACATGAGGAAAGAACAATGAACCCATCAAACCTAGTTTCTGGAGCAAGTTTTGAGAACGTCCCTTGGTGGGGGCAGGGAGACAGACACGTTGTCCATCTGAAGCTCGCACAGGCCCATTCAATCCCGGGAAGCACACGATTGCAAGGAACCAGTGGGAACTGTGAAAGGAGAACAGTAAACAGGATGTAAGTATCCAAAGTCTTCATATGAATGAAGAGAGAGAGTAAAAAATATTGAAAACCCTTACTGTTCATTAATGGGGATCACAATATAGTCTTTAGCAAAGAGATCCACTCCTTTTGTCCAACTCTTAACTCGAGCATGACGCATCTCCTCAGCCCTGCTATCAATATCATCATCAATCATCTCCACAGTTTGAGGTCACATTGTGAGTGACTAGGACAATGGACTAACGAGAGTTTGGGGTTCATTTCTCCTTGGCCAGCAAAAGAATTACGAAGGTTTGTTCGAGTTGTAAGCCTCTTATAGAAATAGGAAGAAAAAATGTGTGTCCGCTCCCTCATCTCTTTATCCAGCACCTTCCAGTATAGGTACCTGCCAAAACCACAAGAAAACATCATGTCCCTTGAGTGTGAGATAGCCCACAATTAACAAAGCAGGACAGAGAAAGAGGCTCTAACTTGAGATAGAAGTCAATAACAGTATCATTCAGGAAGCATTCCTCCTCCAGGCACATGTAATCATTTGTATTGATGGAGAATTCAGATCGGGCAGGTGGTTCTGGCCATGAGAACATCCTGAAAGAGACAGCAGAAAAAAAAATCCCATCCTAGCAACAATAACTTATAACCTAACTGCTTCCAAGAAACAGAGTGAACCTATTATCTTACACTTTGGGCTCTCCACTGTCAATAGCAGAGGACTTCCCATCACTGGGTTGCAGGCAACTTTGCTTTGAGGCTTGAATTGATGCTGGGATCTCCAGTGACTGATTCAGCTCTCTCACCTTTCATGTAAGGATCAATCATGTTCATCATAGGACAGGTGATCAAAAAAGGAAATCACACAAATGTGAGACCATGCTTACCTCTCGTGGTGAAGATCGAACTAGGATGTCATTGGCTGCTGCCAATGCAATCTCTGAGTATAGGGTTTGTCCCTTGTCCATTCGAAGAGGAGAAAGAAGGCTTCGCAACACTTGACTCACTGCTGATGTCAATGTGGATGGAAGAATTGTCAACCGTTTGCATGTGTCATCTGAAATCATCCCAGCCTTTACATTCTAGCAGCAAAGATAACAGATGAAGTATTAAGAAGAAAAATGAAAGAGTTTACCAGTACTGCAGGGATCAAACCGGTACTGAGAGGATTTATCAAGCTGAAGGAGACTGGAGATACGTGCTGCCATCCGTGGTCGGCAGTATAGAAACAACACAGGCATCTGATCAGAGAGGCAAACCCAGATCCCCAAGAGACCAGACATGGGGACATCCACCTCCACTTTCCCTGGTCCTCCATATATGGGGCTCACAATGTGGAACCCTGCCTGGGACACACGAACTGGATCCCGGGGTATTATCTTGTATGAGCCAAAGCGTATAGAATGACAGGTCACCAACTGGTGTTCTCCTTTCTTCCCCCCTCCTCTTTGATCTAATGTGTGAGAGGAAGCAGCATCAAATAAGCAAGAATATCACATGGATACATCTACTACTCAGTTTGATCATGAGCATCAGGCAGGTATGCAGGCTCAGAACAATGACATGCTCATACCAAGAGTATGGTCATCTCTCCTTCCATTTCCATCTTCTTCTTCTTCTTCACCATCCTCCTCTTCCTCTTCCTCAGGGTTAGCAGGGAAAGGCTCTGAAAGGATTCTGTCTCCTTCTTCTTTTTCCTTCTCATTTGCATCTCCTCCATCACCATCACCATCACCATCACCTTCAGCATCACATTCAGCATATCCATCTCTGACCCCATCCCCATGCTGACCTCTGTCTCTCTCTGCTTGCTTCCCTCGATCCCCTCGCTCCTCATCATCAGATGACAGTGTCAGGAGCTCTGTAAAACAGAACCAGCAAGATAATTCCACCTTCTACAGTCAATATTCTTTATCTTCATGGGAAAACTGAATGCAAACTTTACCAGGTTCATCATCACGGTATGGCTTCCGTTGCTTCCGAAAAACACGCAATGAAGACTGTGGGGATCCCAATGATCGTACTCCCTCCTTCCCCTTCTGTAAGAACAGTACCCTATGCAAACAACTTCAGAAATGTAAAGAGAAAGAAAGAACAAGGGGAGAAAAAGACAGCAGACCTTGGTGAGCAATGAATCAGGAATTTCCTTGACATCAGGAGGGAGAGGACGACGGCAGCGGACACAGGTATTGAAGTCCTGGCTCACTTGACCACAGTGTGGACAAACTGCACTCTTCCCTTCTTTCATCAGAGGCTATGGAAAGGAAAGAACGTCAACAATCTGATAGTACAGGAATGACTGCTTTTCTTTAATTGAAAAAGGGCATAATTGTATTTACAATCAGGGAATATAGATAATAAACCTACCAAGGTCCTCCTTAATTTCTCCCCATTTGAGCTTTTTTCCTCCTCTTTCCTGGACATACATACATACATACCAGCATATTAAATTATCACTTCCAGAATGATAGTCAACAATCAACCATTAATTCTTCCAAATGATAATATTCATGCCTTCAAGCTTCAAGAAGGGAACTTACACCCCTGTTCAAAAGCTATATATCTTCCCATAAAATACTTCACTCATTTCTCGACATTTTTCCTACATAATCTAGATCTTTTTTTCTTGCTCAGTATCAAAATGAAAAAATAATAATTTTTTTTGTGTGTATCCTTGGGAGATGGTTTCTCTTCTAATTTTTCTTGCCACTCTGGCATTCAGCAATGACATTTCTGTGCTGATGCTATTGAAGTAATGAGCCTGAAGCATAACAAATAGTATATGACCATTGTGAATAACCATCATTCTCTGGAAAGATTTAACATGAGGATTCCAAGAAGACATTTCCTGGCACACAAAAATGGGGAAAAAAAGAGATGCTACTTATGTACCTGGACACTCCTGAGTTGGTCACCCCAATGTTTCTGCCCTGGAATGGAAAAGGACAGGACAATATAATTTTGAACTACTCACAGTAGAAAGGGAGGTTAAGTAAGACAGGGAGAAAAAAGAAATTTGTAAAGGTGTGTCAAAATGTCATCCTTCACTGGAGCAGCAAAAAGTATAGAAAAAACTTACAGCATCAATAAATTTCCCCTTTATTTCTACATCTAAAGAATTTTTTTTAATACCAACTGGGTAGGGAAGTAACATGCAACAAGTAATGTCATTGAAATTTGTTGCAAATCTTAGAAATCAGAACATTTCCTTCCATATTTTTTCCAAAAAGTATTGATTCCTTTGAAAGTACAGTATTAACCATTTGAGGAGAGTTTTTAAATCCTGCTGGGTCTGCAGGAGTAAGTAATTTTTGCACTCTCAAGATGAAAATGTATATTTATAGGAGTACTCCTCAAAGGGTTAATATTCTGCTAAAAAACTAAATTACTTTATCATTACTCTTCTGACATCAGAGCTTTAAATTTGAGAAACCACAAAGAAATTGAAAGTATAAATTTAAAAAATATAAAAAACTTTAAATCTATATATCTCAGCAGGCACTGGAGCTCTTTTCACAAAACTAGCAATGTGCATTGATTTTTTTGTTCTCAACATGCTTTCTAAATCCAATGTAAACCATGGGTAAATTTTTAGAGCAAATTCTCTGTGTCAATGGTTGATAACTGATTGGGATTTAATTGGAAGAATGTCTTATCAATCCATCTGCAAGAAAAAGCTAATAAAACATGAATTTCAGCTGAAATTTCATTTCAAATGAAGTTTAATGTAGCTTGCATGATCTGCAACCACCCATCAAGCTCAAGTTCAAGCTTTTGTCCACTTTCAAAAATGCCGGAGAAATATCTATTTATGCAGGGAAAGTTTCATGAAAATAGCTCCTGTAGGAGCAGCAAGATGAAAATGCTGGCCTTTGTTTTTTGTTTTTGTTTTTGCAAAACACTATTAACAAGGGGCATAATAAAGGATATGGTGATGTCTGCCTTGCAGGTTTCTTCAGCCCTCTCTGACTCAATTCTCCCAAGAAACAAAGGAAGACCACATTGACAAAGCCTCAAATAAGCAAACATGAATGCGTTGTCTTTTGCTCAATAAGGACATCATCATGTCATCATGAGAAATTCCAAAAGTGCCAGGAATGCTAACAAAGGTAATATTACATGGATAGGGTAATCCAGATGTAAAATATATGGGTAATTTGATAGTGCACATAGTGCTGTTTCCCCTATGAAGGAGAACTAATCATGATGACACCCAATTCTCATACACTTGGCTGGGAGGGGGTTGTAGAGATGAGGCACACAGGAGTCCCTCGATTTGGAGTCACCAACACCTGATATGGTCCTTGATCCCCATTCTCAATTGTTATATTCCTCCACTATAATTACAAAATGGACAGGTCATCAATAGCAATGAAGTTATTTGATCTGATTAGATTTTTCTCAAGAAAAAGTCTTTAAAAAGCATGTACGTGCTTCCTAAGCCTTCTTGAATCCATGAAGCTAAATATAATTATTTTCCATGTCTAAAACATAATTCAGGCATGAAGGGGCTAGGTAATTTGACATTGGACCTAGAGTCTCATATGCTACTCATTCTACAATGTCAGATTTTTTTCAGAGCACAGAAGTTTACCCTTTTGAGTCTATTTTTTAATTAATTTAATGAAAGCTTTCCTTTTCTTGATTCCAAAAAAAATATTCCATTTCAATGTCTTTAATTCAAACTCAAAAGGCATTCAAATATTCTTTGCTCTACATTCAGTTTGAATTATTTGATTTAAAAAAAAGCAAAGCAATCATGGAGATTTCCAGGCTGAACTCAAAATGCCTTAACACATTGAGCACCATGCAACACACTAGTATGGCATCATGCATGTTTTATACCACACTGCTATGACTCCTACCTTTTAAAAGATTCAGCAGCAAAAGCAGCAGCATTATGAGTCTTAAATAAGCAAAAGGACTCACATTTGGGTTGAGAATGAAACTCCTTGGTGCAGCTATCCGAGGTAAAATCAGCACCAGCTGATCAGGATTCTCTGTATTTCTAAATGAAAGAAAAAGGACGATGAATTACTTCATAATACAGAGTGACTCAAATTCATCTCCCCAAAGTTTGCCTGTAGCCTCTAAACTATAAGTGATAAGTACTTGGAAAGCATGTAATTTTCTTTATCATTTACTTCAAAATAAAGAAAATATTGCTTGTTTTTTCCTCACCCTTCAATGACAAGACGGCTCTGATTGTGACAAAGAATGGGCATGGATGAAGAGGAAGTTGTTGAAGACACATGAGGAGGAGGGGGAGGAGGTGGAGGTGGTGGCTGGGGTGGGGGTGGTTGGGTTGGAAGTGGAGGTTGCTGGATTATAACTCGCCCTCCTCCCAGTCCAACCTAGATTAACAAGCCAAACAGTCATTGCCAAACTGCCATTCTCACTGTGTCTGACATAACTTTGTGATGTAATTTGTTACTTAGTTATTACAACTTAAAATCCTTATATTTTATAGGCACACACTGTAGTTCACACGTTGTCAAGATGACAGCAGTCCACAGTAATATAAAGCTGCTGTATTTCCTCTGGCACTTTAAAATGGTGTCATCATTTATATTTATTTCAGCTAAGACATTTCTTTCCAGGCCAATTTTTCCTGTTTTTGCAACCTAGATAATGGAAAGTAGTACAGAAATATTGGGAAACATACAACATAAAATAGGAATATGAGTACTAGCTGAACTAATTTAATAGCATGATTTAATTAATTTCTTTAAATAATTTAATAAATATTTAATTTTACTTGAGAAAATCATTTTAAAAGCACTTTCATGTTACATAAGACTTGTTTTAACCTAAAAAGTAAATGACATTTTTTCCATGTCTAGATACAGTTCAGGACTGAAAGGGTCAAGACTCTGGCTGTGCCATGCATCAAGCTGATTAAGCAAGGTGGGACACCACATGCATCTGCACTGATAAGACATGAGAGATACATGCCAGCATCACAGTTGCAAATGACATAACTCCACTATTACACCTTGCAACCCAACAACTCCCCCAAAATCAAGAAAACTCCATTGGTCTACAGTATATATGAAACACAATTGGTAGTTTGCATGAACTGGATTGTAATTTTCAGTCCTAGCTGTGTAATTTTCTGACTGTTGTTCAATCTCATCTCTCACACATTCCACACATACACATTAACAGTTTTTGTAGAATACAATTTTGTGAGGATGCCACTCTTATTGGCTGACAGGTCCTCCCAAAAAATATTGTTGCAGTTACAAAAAAGGATTGCATGACAGAAAGGGAGTAGTAGGGATACTTGAAGATCACTCACTGGTGTTCTAGGTCGAATAGCAGCAGGAGATGGAGATCGCATTGCTGTGACAAGGGAACCTTGTGCAACTTCTGCCTCTCCTTCCATACGTCCCCTCCCTGAATTATAACAAGCCATTGCAGAAAGTAATTATACTGATTCCTGTTCAACTTTACAGGGTGGCCAGAAAAAAAGTTAGTTTCATCATAACAAATATAGATGACAGCTATAAAAGGAAAATGATGTTCTAAGTAATGAACCTTGCAGCCAACCAAAATGGAAAAAATTCAAACATTCCCCAATGTTTTGAAAATATTATATTATTTGGGAGGAAAAAGTAGGCTCATCATGATTGTGTAACTATGAAGTTGGGTTGAAAACATGGTAGTTGGGCAAAACCCCCATATTCCTATTTAGTCCTCTTGCGCAGGTCTTCCTCTTGATATTTTTCATTTCCAGGAATTTCATTACATGGAACTCTTGAATGGGTGTGTCAGAGAAGATGGACATATTTTATTAAAATCTAATATATTGCTGACTGAAAAAAAAAGCCAAGTGGTTATAGACAATGGAGATTCGCAGAGAAAAGAAATATTTTTCATTCTCAAATTTTCACTTCTTAAAAATAATTTTTCCCAAATATCCTCCATAAGCATTGACACACTCGCCCCCTGACCAAAACATTGTGCAACATCACATGTGAAGTGCCTTCACTGACTGCTTGGATTCTCTCCTGAATCCAGATCTTCAATTCTTCTTCATTGTATGGTCTTTGAGAGCACACTTTAGACTTTAGGTACCCAAAAAGGAAAAATTCTGGAGCTGTGAGGTCTGATGATCTTGGGGCCAGTCCACATGACCAAAATTGTGAGATCACTTTTCCTGGGAAGTACTGCTGAAGGAAGTTCATGCAGATACAGGCTATGTGGCTAGTAGCCTTATCTTACATGAAAAACACGTTTTCAAGGGTAATTCTGTGATGTTGGAGTTCTGGCTGAAAGAAATTCAGTAACATGTCCAAATAACAAGTAGATGTCACTGTCCCAGTGCAGCCAGCCTCTTAAAAAAAAGTTAGGCCCAATTATGATTTGAGACTATACTGCCACCCATACAGTAACTTTACCTGGATGCAGTTTCTTCTGATGGAGATTAAAAGGGTTTTCATTACTCCAGTATCAACAGTTCTGCTTGTTTAAATATCCATCTAAAGTAAAATGAGCTTCATTTGACATGAACAAATTGTCTACCACTGTTGGGTCTTTCTCCACCGTTTCAAGAAAATATTGGCAAAATTGCAAACCTTGTTCCTTATCATTGTAATTCAAGTGCAGTACAACCTGCAACTTATAGGGGAAAAGCTAAAACCCTGTTTCAAAATTCTGTGCATTGATTTCGTGCTTGTTCTGACTTCCTGCGAGAGGTGATGAACTGACTTGGATAGGCTGTGCGGAATTGCTACTGCCATGGCTGCTATGATTTCTGGTGATCATGCTGTTCGTATTCATCCTTGTCTTTTTGCATTCCCCATAGATCCTGATTCACAGAAATTTTTTATGTACCACAATATTGAGTTGACAGATGGCGCATCTCTGACTCCTAATTCACATCAAAATGCAAGTTGTGCTTGCACAATGGAGCCTGTTATGAAAAACAGTTCCACAATCTTCATACAATGAGCTATTTTCCATTTTTCTATGACAGATAAAGCTCCAAACCTTGCAGAACATTGACCTACTAAAAAATTGAGAATGATGTAGCTGGTTGGAGTGTTGGAATATGGGCAGATTGGAATCATACACATGTATGTAGGGTTTTTATAAAGTTTCTTGAATACTATTCATCATAAAGCCATAATATTTGGTAGAAACACCTTTGAGACCATGCAGAACATGTTTCTATGGTCAATGATAATGTCCACCAGAGGGCTTCATTGATCACTACATATGAATATGCTGTTAAAGTATGGTACTATAAGGCTGTGCCTACATTAGGTCTCAAGGTTATACTGATCTTCATTGCCACCATTGCAACCAGTATAGCCTTGAGGCTTTTCAGTGCTGAAAACTGAAAACTTAGACCTAATGTATCCCCCAGCCTAAAATTGCCAACACACTCATCAGCATTCATCTGTCATTAGCGATGTCACAAAACAGGTTATCATTACATGTATGAATCACCCTCATACATCAGTAAAAAAAAAAAAAGGGTTCAGTAGCTGATGCATCCTGCAGTGGCTGCATGCTACTTTAACCCTTATCTGGGCAAGTGGGCCTAGATTTTCTGAACAGCAGTCAAAATATTCTAAATAATTTTACATTCTTTTTTAAATATATCAGAATCAATAAAGACTTTGCTTCATGAAAAACATGTTTTTTCCTTATTTCCAACACTATATAGAGTAAAGGCACCAGTTCGTGGACAGATTAAGGAAATTGTACTATAGTCGGAGTCACTGGAGAACTGTGTTTGGTTTCAATATGAGGTCATGTAAAGTTATATATCCATACTATAAAATTGGGCATTGACTGCATACTTTTCCAATAATAGGTTACAACATATTGACTATATGTTAATTTTCATGCTGTTCCTATTTGTGGAAGATTGGTTCCAGTTCGTGGACATTCATGAACCCAGTTTGTGAACACCAGTTTTTTTTACAATCGTGGATATGGATAAGCCTTAAAAGGAAGATATTACCATGGAATGTGTGCAGCAGTTGTATTCATCGTCAATGAGATGAAAATGAAAGAAAAATCACTCATTCTTCACCCATTTTTTGGCCACCACAGCTACATCTGTGCCCATCTTGGCAAAATCAAACCCAATCCAGTTGAAAACCCAAGTGTCTCCAAAGAAGTCCATGAGACCTTGATCTGATCGCTCAAAAACCATTTTATTCATTAATCCAAACAAAAAGTTTGTTTTGTCTCTAAAACCTTTTCCTTTCCAATGATCTTCGGCCTCCTCATTGAAATATCATGCCTCCACTTCATGAATAATTTAAGACATCTTTCTTCTGGTAAGTTATTAGTAGACAATCTATTTTCTCCTCAATTATCAAGAAACTTCTTCACTAACAAAGCTAGTTCTTAATGTATCTTTTCATACATATAATATGAATTTATAGTGCTGGCCTCATGCTTAAAGTGTTTCTGATTTTGAAAAGCTTTACTGTTGAGGACTAAATCACTCGATGGAAGACTTATTGATGTAGTTGGCCAACCTTGACTCTATCTCTGCAGACAGCACAGGCAAATGATCCTATATTCACTTTTCAAGGGGTCTAGCACCATTGGTTTCCAGAGATATGGTACTTTTAGGGACTTCAAACCTTTTGACAGCATATCCAATAGACATTATGTATGCCACTAAGGGGCATTCAAATCACCATCTGTGTATTTTGTTTTGATAATTTTTTTTTAGGGATGCTGAAAAGCATGGAAAATAAATTTATTGATCCATAAACGTTTTCTTAGGCCCTGATCCTATTTCCCCACAAACATGAAAATGCTAGACTTAAGGATCTAGATTGTGAACACAAAAAAGTAGTCATCTTCAGACTGGAGTTTTTTCTATTTGTGGGCAGCATATTGGGTACTGGCTGATATGCATGCAGTGCATATAAGTTCCCTGTATTTTTCCCCTCTGTGAGATGGATTGATAGGTACATTTACACTTACAGGTACATTTAGTGAAGAAAAATATCAGAGCAAACAAGGTATATGTGCAATAAAAAGAATGAAATACTATGAACTTATTTGTACTTAGAATATGCCTGCCTTTGCCCTAAAGAAAGTCTTCCACAAGCTGGAGAAGAATTCCTCTTAGTGGAGTGGAGACCACTATCTACATATAGGCAAAACCTTCAGTCGAGGATCCAGTTGGTGGACAACCCTCTTTCATCATTTTATAGGAATTTTTTCATCCATAAATGCATAGAAATATGAATTAGGGAACTTCTAGCAACATATCTGAACATCATACTTGAGGCCCACATAAATTATTGTGAAACAATCAACTTTGTAAAGGGTTTGCATATGTTAAGAAAAGTCACTGGATATTTAAGGAATTCAGGGTGATATATCTAAAATGAAGTGAAAATGTCTAAGTTAACTCATGCTTATCAGCATTCATAATTTATATGGTGGCCGACTGGCATCCGCATAACATGGAGCAGTCAAGATTATGAATTTCTTGCTTATACTTTTTGGATAGCAGAAAATGCAAAATTGTCCCACAAATAGGCACCCATCCATGAACTGGTGCCTTTACCCTACTTAAAGTAATTTGAGGTCCAACAGACTGCACTTGTCTGGTTACGTTAATCTTTTACCTTGCCTGGATAAGGGTTAACTGACTTGAAAAATGCCATCTGCAAACTTATCACCATGTTGAATGGACAGCCTCATCCAGCTGTTTATCATGTCATCCCACAAGTGCAAGCCAGAGTGGACATGAATGGTGGTCATATTGAGCAGAAGTAGCACCCTCTGTTGGTCATTGTTGATCAAGGAAACATGTTCCCCAAGGTCTCAAAGGTGTATTCACAAAATATATTTGCTTTATGATGAATAGTATTCATGATACAGGTGTTTGAACATGCCAAGAAACTTTATAAGAACCATGTATGATTTCTCCTTATTGCATCAATACAAATACATCCTCCTGGCATCCTAATATTTCATCTTAAAATTCAATGTCTTGCATTTGTGCACACCACTGTCAAATTATACATAGCATGAACTGAGAGGCATAGCTTTCCAAGAACAGAATAATTTAATTTCACTTAGATCTTCTCTGGATTTTGCTTTGGCTGAACCCCAAACCCATGCAAAGTAAATAACATACATTTTTTTTTACAATTATTTTCATATCTCATACCCCATATTCACAAAATATCAGGTGCTAAGTTTGTCCAAGATTGTGACATCTAAGGCAATTGTTGACTTCTGGCAAAACAAAAGCCAGACATTGAACTTCCCAATAGCCCCAATGCAGTTCCTGTTGAATTATTAAGTATGGGGTAAGGAGGAAGAAAATTTTTACCAAGATAAAACAGTGCATTAAAAATTCAATTTTAAAAATTCAATCATCAAATATTGGCAAGTCATGCCCCTCAGCTAGTTGCAGTGCACAATTGGGCTGTGGCATTATCAATTGTAGGCCACCATCAACTATAATAGAGGAAAATTTGATTTTCAGAGAAAAAAGAGAAATGGTATTTCATTTGAATCAATGCATTTGTATCTGTAGTGCTCAAATCAGTCAGTACAAAGGTCTCACATCCAGCCCATGAAGACAAAGCAAATTTTAAGTGAGAAATAATTTTCTCTTAGTACCAATTTTATGAGGAATTTTTTCAGGGTAGCCCATATCACATTGGTTATATCTGGATGAGCCCCCACTCAAAAAGTTAGAGCACCACTATTTTGTATAATAGGCATCACTGATTTGCATTACAATTATGTCTTCAGATAAAGACATCCTTTTTAAGAGGCCACTCTGTACTTCAGAAAAGTGAAGAGGAAAGAAATCAACACAGATCATTGATATAGACGCACCAACAGATTGTCTAATGATCTTGCAAGGAGGAGGTCCCATTTCTTCTCCTCCAATGCTCTCACTTTCTTGAGCCATTTTGGGACTGTTAGTTAAAGAAGCAGTGGAGCGGGATGGAGAGATCACCATTCCTTCAAGGTTTCGAAGATATGAGACACCCCTTGATACAATAGAAGATGGAGGCAATGGGGTAGGTGGTGTGGAGCCACGCACCATCTTTGACACAAGTTGCCGAGGCATGTTTGGGCTCATGTCTGTCACCAAATAAGGACCACTTGGGGATGCTATTACCTGCTTTCCAACACAAAATCAGGAATTTCTCACACTGCTTGACCAACAGAATCTCAGGCTGTATTCACACCAAATCAGAGATACATGTAGATCTGAACCTAAATAGGACAAATCTTTTCATTAAAAATAAAATCGACTGGAGACAAAAATGCCTGCCAGGTACCTATGCTTCATGGGAAAGAATAAGTTAGGCAAACAGACTGTAAACTGACCAACAATATTAGCTCAACCTATTATCTAGCATCCCAAAATTGGGACAGTTGAAAAATAGAACTGCATGTGTTTCAACAATAACTTTCCTTTGGATGAAGATAAAAACTTCACTCTGGAGTCACTTTATTTGCAAAATTGCTCATTTCCCAATGGTAACCCAAAATTACCTCTGGGAGATATAAAAAAAAAACTACTTGAACTCAGGAATTTGACCAACTTGACCAAATTTCCTGATGATTCCAAATTCTTCAGGCAATTAAAAGCTCAAAAGTTTTAGATAAATTTTCATTTAAATTTTGAGTGATTAGCAATAAAAAATACTATTTAAATAAAATATTGAATAGTATATAAATAGTATCTAAATAACTTAAAATAAATATAATTAAAACACAATTTAATTTTTATTTGAATAAATAAAAATCAACAAACATGGGGGGTGAAGTTGAGCCTGCAGAGTATGTTCATGTCAATTTTAGACTTAATATCGGGTGCAAATGGATTGATTAAATGGGTGTGTGGTGCTACTGTAATGATAATCAGAATTCTAAAAGCCAGTTAAGAATAGTAGTGGACAAGTTGCATTGGGGGATATCAGTTATATTCTACTTGCAAATGGTGGTAAAAGTATATGGCAATGCCCAAAAGTCTGTCAATTTCTATATTAAAAATTTCAATTCATATGTTCAAGACCAATCTCTGCTCTTTCATATTGTGTCCATTTTGGTAATTACAGGTTATTAATGCCATTGACATTTCATCAGTTCATCTGGTAGGAACCTTGTCTTCCAACCCTAACCATGACGTAAATTTGCATTACCAATCCAAAAACATTTGTGATAAAAATGTCATGTTGTCTTGAGTCATGATATCAAACTCCATGCGAATGCATCATTTGGTATGCCAGCAACTTTGGAAACCTCGTCTAGCCACTTCATTTTTTATTAACAACAAATGTCATTAGGCATGAAGAAAGGAGATGGTCTACACCTTCTCTCTGAAAAATATGGAAGCTCCAGGTCAAGCCAAATCAGGCAGAATTTGAAGGCAAGCAGCAGAACAAAAAACTGTAGTCTAAACTGTGTTATCTAAGTAACACAAAATGAATGGTCTCACTTTTCTTCATCCATGGGAGAAAGGAGAAATTTTTAACAGGAATAGGTGCTAGTAAATAAGTTCTATAAGGTACTGTTGAATTAGAATTCCTGGACCTAACCATATTCAAGGTTATTCATCATACTTACAGTATTTTCATTTTGAGTCTGGTGTTACATCAGTAACTTTGGAACTGCTCTCCCATGATGAAAAGTGAAAAATCAGAATTCCTTTCAGCCTCATTCTGCACCACTGGTCACCAATGACCAAAGTCTATTTTTCACAACTACATTAATGATACTGATATAGAATATAATCACCCAGCCAAGGAGAGTCAATTCAGGCAAATTGAGAATTTCATCAGCTTTATGAAAATGAGAGGTCTAGTTTGAAGCATATGGGTAGTTAAAAATTAAAATCTCATCTTATTTCGTTTAAGTGCTGCCAAAAACAGCAACAGGTTAGTACAGACCTGCTGGTGTCGAACTTGCACTTGTGGAATCCTATGAAGTGCAAGGCGTTGACTGACAGCTTGACGCTCAGTCTGTAATCGCATTGCAGTTGACTTTGCTCCTGTACCTGGCATCTGCAACTAGAAAATTCAATGTCAGTGGTCTCAAGATTGATCAATAAAAGCAGTCTAACTGGGGTTGCTCACCTGTGGGTGAACAACAGCTGTAAGACGACTTGGAGCACTACTTGGAGTCACTGTCACGTTTTGGGCAGACAGGGATTTCACCAGGTTCTGCTTCCTGTTGACCTCTGATTTCCTGGAGAGAAAAAAATAAGGCAGTTGAATACACAAGTGAGAAAAATTGGATTCAGCCACAAGACTAGAGAGAAGATGAGATCTGTCTCACCAAGCATGGATATTTCCAGTTAGTCTGCCATGAGAGGAGATTGAACCGAGTCCTTCTCCTTGATAGTCTCTCCCTTGGCCTTTACTGTTCACCTCTTCTTCCTCGTCTTCCACTTCCTCTTCGTCTTCTATTTCTTCTTCCTCTTCCTCTTCCCCTACCTCTCCCTCTTCCTCTTCCACTCTTCCTTCTTCTAAATTCCCTTCCACCTCAGGCTCTAATTCAGTTTCAAATAGCTTTGGTTGACCAGGGAAAAGTAGGTCTGATAGAAATACTTTGTATAAGAGGTCTATTCACCACCATATACAGAATTTTAATTTCAGAATTACATGCTGGACAGTGTTGTCAATTCCTCTTAACCATATAAGAATTCCCTGATTCATAGTATCTATACTGGATGATGAATTCAATAAATCTGGGTTCTATATATGATTCTGGGTGCTGAATGCACCAGTTACAGGGACGCTCTTGCTACCCTTGATCTGCCTTCTATTCATCACAAGCATCAACAACTCATTCTCATCTATGGAAATTCCCCCCTCCCCCAAGACACTACTCCATGCAACTAAGATGTGACATATCATCCCTCCTGGAGAAGACTAGATGTCAAACTGAACAATTTTACCACTCATCAATCCCCTTCATCACTATACTCCTGAATGAAATTTCATGATACCGTTTTCTACCTTTACTCACATAACATCATCCACTAGCTTACCCATTCCTACTTCCTTTTCATGTTATGACAACAGGAATCAATTTGCTTTGCACCAATAATCTCACAATAAGCCATTAATATTATCTGAAATTCAGATAAATTTTGAAGAAAAAAAAACACACACTAGTAAATTAAAAATCATAGGCTCATACTTCACCATAAAATAGGTGTGAGTTTCCATGAATGGTTCAATGACTTTATTGATGTGGACCTACCCCAGCCTAGCCTCCCTAACCCTTTCTGTGCAGAATATGTTTTGCTGGTGGAGGTTGCTGTAGGTCTTACTCATCAACAGCACAGAAAGGGTTAAGCCTGTACATTTGAGCCTGAGTACATTCTAAAATTTGAATTGAAATGAAGGGAAAAATAATGGGTGACATGCACCAATTGAGGAATCACATTAGTTTAAAGACAAGATGAACACCCACAATTGAAAAACGTTTAAAGGATATGTGGTTGCACTTGAAAAGAGAATGATCAGTATTATGTGCCAGCTGCTACTCTATTTTCTGCATCAAGTCAGCAACAGCATCCTTTGAGAGATGAAACCTTGTTCAGAATTCATCTCCATTGAATCATTCAAGAGGATTGAGCCAAACTCTGATAGTCCTCTTGGAGGTTTGGTTCAAGATCACATCAAAAACTTCTATCTCTTCATTAGTTTCCATTTCCACCATCACTAGCTGATAAAATGCAAGAAAAATGCAGCCCACTCCTGCAAAACAGCATGCTGAACCACCTCTGAGAATATGTTTAGGAAGTTAAACCTGCTATAGAACAAGTTTATCTTTGAAGATTAATTTAAGAGAGAAATAAACTGATTTCATTTGGTGCATGTCACAAATCAGTTTAATGATGAGTTCAACTCATTCTTAAACATATTTGCCTGGAATCTGATCATTTTAGCTCCTAAACTGATGTGGTGCATGTCACCCAATAAATTTGTTTCTGGTGATTCATGGTCTCTCTACCTTTGCAGTTACTTTTAAAGTCCATGTGTGAATGGAAAGGTATTGGAGGCAACATCAAGAAAATGTGAATATTCCTAAAGGAATATTCACATTTTCTTGATGTGAATATTCCTAAAGGAACAAAAAGCAGAAAATCATTATTTGCCAGTTGCAAACCATACCAGGAATTCTGTAGCCTTGCTGTGGACTGAACTGAGACTGAGGATTCTGTGCAGTCTCTTTGGTGATGTTTCCCTCGTCGTCAGGATCTTGATAACTCAGACAAATGGCCCTAAGAGCACTGACAGGCTTCTGATTTGCCTGACCTCTAGTAGGAGGGTTTATGTCTTGCTCTTCCACTGAAGTTATCACAGTTCCTCCTAACTGATAGGATACCCTTTCCTTCAGGGTACCAGGACTTCCCCTACCCCTCCCTGCAGGAATGCATGCAAGCCAATCTCATGAATCATGTCTCCTTCTGCATTTTTATAAATACGAAATACAGTGCATTCAGTTTATTTGAACCAGTGTAGGGAAAAAAATGTTTTCCCACAAACCTAAGGCAATAAATCGGAATTTCCCAGGAAGGACATGCAAGCAGACTAAGCAGGCTGGATCAGCCCCACCCACCTGCATGTCTCTGTTCCTGCAAACCTCATTCACAGGTTCACAAGGGTTTTCCTAATCTGATTGGAACACTTAGGTTCCAGGTCAATTTTCCCCAATAATACAAATTCACCTTCCATTTCCTGAATGATTCCATTCCTGAAAAAATACCCCAATAAACTGACTGTCCCCATTATCCAATGGCCCAATAAAAACAGAATCCACTGCATATGGATATCAGCACAGCAAGACCTGGATCTACGCTATTTTAAACCATAGCTTTCTCTCAATGCTTTTGTAATTCCCTTCCTTATAGTTTCATTTCTTGCAAAACAGTAATAAGGAAAACTGATGAAATGCATCATCATTAACAGCTAATAGAAAACTGAATGCATTACAGCCTGGAAAGTATGAAATATTTCTATTTGAGTAATAGAACTCACCTCTAGCTGTAAGGCCTATGTATCCAGACATACCCT